TTATAAAAATTTCATACCCTTAAAAATGTTTAACATTTCTAAGAAAAAAATATGTTTTTTTTCGGTCATAAAAATTATTAGCTAAAACTTACTAAAATAAAACCATAGCATTTTCCTTTCATTAATTAAATTGTTATTCATTAAAAAATTATTTTTGTTTCTTTGTTTTGGACTTTTAAAAAAATTTTCAAGGTTTCTAAATGATGATAAATTATTATTAAATAAATTTTTGAGATAAGTTTAATTTATTGAAAGCTATAGTATAGTAAAACCTACTTGCTTTTAAAATAAACATTAGTTGATAGATGCAATATATTCTCCTTTGAATTTTATTTTATTAGTTATGTGTAAAAGTACGTATATGCATTTTTAATAATACAAAAAAATGTATTCAACCAGTTCTTCATAATTTGCGCTATAATTTTTCATAATACAATTATGAGTTATATATCTGACAATAGTTATATACAATTTTACACAAAATGTATCTAAGTTTTAACTGCTTTTAAAAATATGAATATTAGTTAAAGTACGGCGCATAAAAAATTATTATAGTATGACCTATTTCCAAAATTCATTAAATTTTAAAAACGCAACGAAAATTGACTACAACAACATCCTCAAGTCTAGTGAATATTATATATTTTATACATTATACTGATCAACAGCTTAACAAAATACCAGAAGTAAATATTGTTATATCTATTTGCCGTTTTAGATATATAAACCTTTGAAATAGATTCAATAAAAACAATCAGCTTTCATAACTTTATTTTGATTCTGCCCTGAGTGAAATGCTTAGTTATTATTTTAAATCCTATTCAAGAATAAGAATAAGAAAGAACAGGCTACTAACTCCCATTTGAGCAGAGTACCGCGACCATGATTGATCTTTTGTGCTACAACAGATCCTAACTGAACAAAAGACATTCCGCCTTTCGAATGAAGACCAAAATGTCGGTTGTTGAGGACCTCCTAATGTCGGAAGGTGAGAGCAATTCTCGACCCAGTGATCTGCTCCTGGCCCAGATCAAAGCTGGGCAGTCACATAGAATGTGGCTGGTTGTCTCCTCTGCCTCCAAGCAGAGTCTACAATCTATCTCTTCGGATAGGCCCATTTTGTTGAGATGGTAACGTACCCCGTGGTGACCCGTTAGATATCCCACTAGCAACCTCAACTCTATTCTGCTAAAGGAGGATATCTTATTATACCTATAGGGGAGAACCAGCTCTTTAGCCTGACGGTTACCTCGACTGTCGCGCCAGTAGCGATTTCTCTCTTTCAATTATTGATTAGGGACCTAGTTGTAGACGAACTTAATCCACAAAAAGGTTCTGGGCCACAGATTAGAGTGGCGGATCCTGCCCGTGCAAGACTGTCGGCAGACTCATTACCATTAATTCCCGTGTGACCAGGGACCCAGCACAGTGTCACTTTATTATTGCTTGCCAGCTGCTGCAGTGTGTCATAGCAGTCTGCTAGACTGAATCCTATTCAATGTATTCCTGAAAATCAAAAAAGAAAACATTTTAACACCTTAGTATGTGACTTTCAAAACATTGCAATTGAATTAATCAATGAAATCCCATTTAAAATAATTATTTGGAATGGACCATGCATGTTAGAGTCAATCAATTTCATATAAACTACATGAAGGATATATATACAGACAATTTATATTATCATACTAAATAGAAATGATATACATATATCTCATTTTATAGCTTCCGATGTTTCCTTCATTATGTACAACCATTTTAATAAAACTGATAAGGGTTATTGGTATATGTTATTATTTATAACATTGTAATCAGTGAAAATATTTAACTTAACTACTGGTAATTAATTATTATTAACAGTAGTCATTGACTATTGATACTTAACTACTGACTACTGATTATTAATAACAATCTTCATTGATCACTGAATAATATGTCTTATAATGATATAATACTTTCTTTTCTTTCTTTCCTAAAAGGTCTTTCCTTTTACTGTACAATACAAAATCGGGATTCTATTAAAAAATTTATCAGCAATTAATATTAGTTTTTCTTTTTTTCTGTAGCAGTGTTCTTTTTTTCGAAATGATAAAATTTTTATTCAATTTTTATTCAATTTTCCACCAAATATCTTTTGATCCTTCCCACTGCTATTTTCAAATATATTTTGTAACAATTTTGATGAACTGAACGGACAAGTCAAAATGTACTTCAGGTTGCATATTTAATTTATTTTTAAAACAATCTAACAATTACTTACAAAATTATTTCCAGACTTGTTAAAACAAATTGAAATGAAGCCATAAAAGTGTTAAAAAAAAGCAAGTAAAATACAAAAAAATTTTATCACTTCCAAAAAAATTACTTCAAAGTAATACATAAACAGCAGTTCAGTTTATTTATTTTACTTATTTGTTTAAAAAAAACGTCATTTTTTATAGTAAAAATGTTAAAGACCGCAAAAATGTTGAAAACAACAATTTATAAGCCATGAAATTATATATTTGCAATCAACGATTTGTTTTCAATCAATTCTTTTCAGTTGTATGTACAAGAAGACGATTTGTTTCAATACATTTGCCTACTTTAAAAATTAAATATTATTAACAATTCTATCAGTAAATTGTTGGATCATATGTGATATATATGTTAAATTATTTCATTTAGAATTTTTACTATAACGCAACTAAGCACTAAGGTTTTATAAAAAAAGTTTATACATTTAGAAGCTGTCCTAACGAATGTATAGAGATAGAAGTGATAAGTTAATTATGTCAGTAACGAACCTCCAAAAAACCAGAACTGAATGCATTGGATTCATGTAATTGCAATAATTAAATTAAATTATTGCAAGAATTAGAAAAAGCCACAAATATAAATTCATTGCGAGTCATGATATTCATATGAAATATTAACTATTTTTTTTTTAAACTGCGGTAGATATATATATAGCCCTCTCCATTATACTGGCAAAAAACGTTATGAGATACATTTATACATCAATTTGATGCAGCCAATCCATAAAAACACCTAGAGCAATAAATTTTGCTTTTCCAATTAAACAAACTTAATAAAATTTCTACGCATAAAACTTTAAAAATATTCTAAACAGTGTATGTAGTACTTTAGAAGGTCAAAGTAACCGTTTATTATTATAATACATAATAAAAAAATACAACAAATCTATTTCAAAAATTATGAAACCTTTACTGAATTCGGTACTAACTTTGATTGCGTAGTTTAAGAGTAATGTTGCTATGAAAACAGATAGAAACAGATAGTTTCATATTTTAGATATATCCTTTTAAAATACATAATACTTATTTTTTTCTTTTTGTATTGAATTTCTTTATCCGTTTTAAATTCAATTTACATAAATCCCAACAAGTTCCAGAAATCACTGACAATTAGAAACACGTTCATATAAAATGAAATTGGAATCAGCGATCTCTGAAACCTTCACTTTAAGGTAATTCAAAATGTTTCCGTGAACATCTGTGGTGGTTTCTGGATTACACAAAAATTAACCACAGTATGATGATCTACAGAATTTGATTTAATTCGATACATTACACTCGATTTATTTCATTTGAATATGCACAACTTAGTTTTGGTGATAAAGTGGATGAGCACCATATATTCTGTGCGAAAGCTGTGTTTGGTTTTCCGTGCCAGAACGTCTTTTTTGTCGCTGTCCTCTTCTGAAATCACGCTACCTAAATATATGAAGAAGACGACATTTCCGATGCGATCTACATTAAATTGAAAATTACATTGATATGCAGGTCTTATTTTTATAGCTTTTGTCTATTTATAGTTTATGGATAGACCCGAATATGCAAAGTTTACTGAAAGATCTTTCAGCTTAAATTGCATGTGTATATTTTTAATTCACAGAAAGCATGTATCGTATCCGTAATTAATATCTTTAGATAGTTTAGTGCATTTCCAAGAAATGCCGCGATTTTTATCCGCTAACGCAAAGTTCATTATACTATCGATTACCATTAGAAACAAAACTGGTGACATGAGACATTCTTGTCTAACTCTAAATTGCAAAGTAAGAGGGCTCGAAAGTAGTCTTTTGTGATTTTACTCTGGTAGTTGTCGTACTGCGCTCTAATTAGCCTGATGATTTTCTCAGATATTCCGTCGTCTCTTAGCATTTACCATACACTATCGAACGCGGTTCGATAGTTGACAAATAAAATGTGTACCGCCGCTATAAATTTATTTATTTGTTCAACAATGATGCGTAGGGTGTTGATATGATCTGTGTATGATCTACATGCACGGAAGCCTTTCCTTATCAACCTCATCAAGCCTTTTCTTATCTACATGTTGTTTTCTTATCAACCATTCAATCGATTTATCTATGTCTGTCATATCCTCTATATAAAAAAAACCCATATTTTTAAACAATTTACTCAAAATTTGAGACACATGAGTACCTATGCTTAAATAGCAATACTACATTTACTCGTATGCTGTAAAATTATGGAGAGTAGTTATGCCTTCTTATAGCACTTAAAACAAAATCAATATATTTTAAGTTAATACATACGAAACTGATTTTCTAACATTAACAAATAATTTAGGCAATTTATATTCATATTCAATTGCTTATATGTATTGTATTACTTATTGTGCATAATTTATATTATATACAAAACTTCTTAGTATTTACAAATAATTTTTTGCTAAATTATAAAAATATGCTTTTATTTACATATAATATATATGGTGTTTTTTACTAAATTAATAATACTTTCAGTAAGCCTCATTACAATTTTAAAACAAAATAATTAATTTGAAGCCAATTGAAAACATAAAAAGTTAATAATATAAAAAATAGAAAAATTAAAAAGAAATCGTGGGTATTGAAAAATTTGTTATACCTAGAAGTACTTCAATCAACAAAATTTTAAATAAAATAATTAAATAAAAAACTCGAAAATAATACAAAAAAATTATATATGTATATAATTTTACAAAAATCTATTAAAAATAAAAATTGCAGAATTATATTCCAAACACTAATAGAGGATTGAAATTTAAAGGTAAATTCATAAATTTTAATTTAATATTTTTTATTTAAAATTACCAATATTTTAATTGTATTCTTTTTTATTTTAAGAAAAAAAATATTTAAGATTTTCTAAATATATTGTACAATATATAGAAGTAAAAAACAAATACTTCAGCTATCATAAAGAAACAATGCAAATTCAGATAACTTATCTTTATTTCTATTTTTATTCAAAACTGTATGAATTGAAACATTAATGTCTATTGCAGTTGTCTAAATAAATTATTTTAAAGTTGAGATAAGTTCAAATGAAATTTGATTTTTAATCAACCCTTTAGGGTAACCTTTAGGTTATTGCTAAATATCCATTATCAATAACCTTTAGATACATCTATCGCCAGTTATAAAACCCTACCAAATTTAAAATGGATCACATATTAAACCAACGCTGCACATATTAAACCAATGGATCACATATTAAACCAACGCTGCCCTCAATTACGTTCTTTTCGGAGTCTTTTCATTTATTATAATATCTTAAAAAACGAATGCAATTCCTATGCTATAATAAGAACAAACACATAAACCACAGCTATATTTGCATATATTAAACTAACTATCCATTGCAATGTTTTTAAAATTGAGCACATTTTATTATAGCAAACATTTTTATATATACGTATACACTTGTCTCAGACCGCTTGTATTCTATCTGCTTAAAGAATTTAATTCCATGTTATTATAAATATACTAAATGCATTGAAAAAACTTCAAAAGATATATATCTTTCCTTGGTTTTTTACAAGATAGATGAAAATTTAGATAAATAGAAACTTAGATTTTTGATTACTACTAAAAATAACAACAAAGCTAAAAAAAACGAACACTTACCAATCACTGACCATACAAAATAGTCACTGATTTGTTTTAGTGACGGAAGAGCTCACTTGGCAAAATTAGCACATATGAGCCTTTTTGTTGCCAAAGATGTAATTTAAGATATATTTTTTAAGCTAGCCTGTATGGCTCATGAAAGATATAATTCCATTAAGTGGTGTTAAGTATATATCACATCGGGTTAATGAATTTACCAGATGAGTGTATCGCATTTTGAAAGCCATTAAGTGTTTTTTTTTATATCATAGTAAGTGGTTGCCAATATAAAAGTGTGTCTCCAAAAATTTACGAACCCAGTCTTATAGAATGTATAATCCATCACCCAACATATTTAGAAATAAAATACTAAAAAATTTTTTCTTAAATAATTTGTAAATATAAAAAAAGTATAAGTAAAATCTCGTTGATTGTGATTCATTATCATAGCAATTATATTAATGAATAATGATGATTATTTTTTGGTTTACCTCACAAAAAGTAGAAAAAACTACCAAACAAAAACAGACTCATTTACAATTTATACTAATTGTAAAATATTCTTGTTCTGTGGGTATACTCGGACGACAATACCTAAAAATTTGTTAGCTGTAAATATTAAACTGCTCCACTTTTATACTAAATTTTGTTTTTATATATAATTTTTGTGTGTATAAAATAATGAATAGTTGAATAAATATTTGACCTTTTTACTAAAAGAGCACTTTTCAAAGTTTTTGTTAATACCAAAGAAAAATTTGTGTAAATGAGCCAAAATTCTAAACTTTGTGTCCTGCAAGGACATAAAATATTTGTAATAAAAAATTAACTATAATTTGTGCACGGAACGCAGCCATTTATTTTAATATAATTTTAAATATAAGGTATGTAAATTTGTATGACTAAATCAAAAGAATTGCAAATATACAAGTAAATAGTAGCAAACAATTTTTTAATTCAAATATATTAAATAAACAGAAAATAAATTAATTGAAAATGAGTGAAAAAAGGAAAAATAATGCAAAATAAAAAAATAAATATGATTTAATATGACAAAACAAATTAAATAATTATTATACATATTTAGATTTATTACAGGACTCTTAAGTCCTGTAACAAGGAATATATTTCGTTTAGAAAATGTGATTATAGTGAGAAAATTTCGAACTTAGAAATATTATTTCAAATTATTTTGATCCCGATTGGTAAAACTTATTGGTCAGTTGCTTCGAATATTGCTGAAAATAAATCTGAGATGGTCTTTCGGAAATTTTTAATTAGGAGCTATTCTTCTAAATGAAATAAAACTTGTTAGCCAGATGCTTAGAATATTGCTGCAAATATTATAGAGATTTACTTTAAAAATGTCTGTTGATTAAATTGTCCATATATAATTTTTGATATGCAACCTTATCAAATATGAAACACGGGCTCGCGTGTTAACATACTGAGCCAAATGTCAATCTTAAACTGCTTTGCTTAAATAATGTACATAAAAAACGAAATTAATGCGTTTCACTAATTATTAATATATTCGTCATTAATCAATTATGCACTATTCAATTTAAAAATTTCTTTAGTTATATTCTTCAAACAGCATTTGACATGAAACTCAATATATCATTCATTTATATATAAATCTAATTAGAAATATAAACGCATTTTTTGCAAATCGTATAGGTCCTCCATACCTCTAACCATTTCCAAATTTTATTTTAACCTGTTTAAATTAAAAAAAAAAGTTCCTTTATAATGTTTTGCTCTGTTAGTTACTAATCCAATTAATAAGAACCAGATAGCTGAACATCGCTTAATCGATTTAGCTTGCCCCTTTGATACACACCCCTTATCCCTTAATATATACACATGGTTTGTATGATCTTCAACGGTATCTCGCTAACTTACACCTATTTTGTTGACAAACTTGATAAACATTTTTAAGTTTACTTGTGTAAAATTAATAATAATTATAGGTACTCACGGTCAAAATTGTTATTATAGCTCCTATCACGCTATGTGTAATAGAATTACTTTCAAAACACTATTTTACCAATTTAGAAAACTGCAAGAGAAATATCTACTATCAATATCATATAAAATATATTTCCAAAATATAAAGCAACGTAAAAAATCAAGACTATATTATTCATATGTTATTCATATATTATTCAATATTTTTCATTCCACAAATTTCAAAATTCGATTTTAACGTTAATATGACGGTAGTGACTATTTTACTTACTAGAAACTATTGTATTTAATAGAGAGGTTTCGAAAAGTAGTGAACTATAGTACAGCAAGAATAATTCTTTTTATATTATTTTAATTAATTGAAGTAAATTTGTTAATGAACTTTCACAACAAAATTAACAAAAAAAAAAAGAAAAAAGAAAACTTTTCGAACGTAGACGTCGAATATGGTTTTGGATCAGTTGGCTAATGAACATTGACTCTGAACTTTAAATTTGGCAGGGCACGTGTTCAACCCTCAATACTTGCAGTCTCAAAAAATTATTTACGAATAATTAAATATAAAAAATACATTCAAGACAAAATGATGGGTATTTGGCAATACTCGAAATCAAAAATTAAGTAATTAATTAAAAATATAAAAAAGAATTTTCGTTGTAAATTACTGCACTTCGAAACCTTTCTTTAAAATAATTATTTAAATAAAATATTCAAAATGAAAATAAAAGTACAGAAACTTTTTCTGTGGACAAAAAACTAAGTGCGCAAAAATTAATTTTCCCTAAATGCTTTAAAATCATAATCTTTAACACTACTGCAGCTATAAACTTTGTGTGAAATGGATAAGAACAATCTATAGAAAGAATCAATAAAAATATTTTCCAGTCTTTCGAAAGATTTTTTCGCTCTGTCACTGAGTTACTAATTAATCTGAACTAGCCATATTAAAGTTGATTCAAATAATAAATGCGAATGCACTTAGTCTTTTAGAAGAACTAATGAAGTAGTTATTTTTGATTCTAATGTACATATCAACTCAAAAATTGGGAATCTAAAACTATAAATAAATAATTAAACTATAAATAAATTATACATACTTTACAAGAATATATTTATTACATTCTAATCAATTGTAATAAGTATGCTGATCATTCACTGGACAAAGCGAACTAATTATATATACAAAGACGAACTATTAAACTTAAAAATATTAACAACATACATTAATATTTAAGTACTGGCAAAAAAATTTTATGTTCATTAAAATTTCTTTATTTTTACTATACCAAATAGTAATTTAATTAATGCTTTTTTTGCTACAATTGTTTTTAAAGTTATTAGTTTTATATGACATATTTTCATATATCATTTTTATATTTTTAAATATTTTCTATATATGTTTTTATATTATTTCTCTATTTTATTTATTTTATTAACAAAGTTATAACATAATTAAAAAGAAATTATATCTAACTTAAATTTGCTGAAGCTATAGCTACTTGGCCTTAAGCTTGCTTGTTTTATTAGTTGACTTTTTTTTTTTTTTATGATGGGTATAACGGGGTTTGTGGATAGGAGAGGGTATAGTATTAAGACTAAATTACCTATATTTTTTTTTTTTATGTACCTATATTTCTTACATATATTTCTTTTTTTTTAAATTTGGGTATATAAGCCCACAGATTGGAGGTACTTGATTGTAAGCAGAATGTTAGATTTAGTAGGGTCACCTAATAAGGTGATTGGGTTTGTGTTACCAAATATGGAGTTTCTAATTGTCGAGAAATGTGGACATTCAATTAGAAGATGGTGAACAGAAAATAAAATCCTGCAGAACGGACAAGAGGGTGGTGGTGATCTATTGAATAAATGTGAATGGGTTAAATTGGTATGTCCTAGTCTTAATCGGATGTATTTGGTAAGGTATGCACGCGGAAATTTATGATCGTGTTTAAGAGGGGTGAAATTGAAAATGGAAGTTTTATTGAAGTTAATGTTTTTATAATGAGAGGAGGAGTTATCAAAGATTTCTGAGAATTTGCTTTTAAAAACAGTATCTATATAACTGGAGAGATCTGAGCTATTATGATTTTCAGTAAGTATGAACGGATATTTCCAAGCATTTTTTGCTGTTTCATCTGCAAGTTCATTACCTCGTATCCCAGAATGACCAGGGACCCAAATCAGGGTAAGACGTTTGTGATTAGAGGATAGAATGTTTCTGATAGCAGTTGCATAAAAGTTCAGATTAGCTGAATTAGATATATATTGGATTGCGGACATAGAATCTGTACAAATTGCAAAAGAGCCTTTCTTAGTTTTGGCTATGGTAAGGGCTTCGTAGATGGCTATTAGTTCTGATGTGAAGACTGAGGTGTAAGATGGTAGAAGTGAAGATTTAATTATAGAAGAGTCGGTTGTTATGCTAAAGGAAGTCGCGAGGTCAGATTTTGAACCATCGGTATATATGAAGGAGTATCTTTTTAGAGCATACTTAAGTTCTAGAAACTTCTTTTGGAAGATGGATGGATGTGTAGAGGTTTTTGTGGAGTCATGGAGACTAGTATTCAAAAGAGAGTTGCTAAATGTCCAGGGCGGGTTGGTAGGGTAACTTACAGGGGTAGGAGTAATGGTGATATTAAAATTATTGCAAAGTGATATTGATTTAAGCAGAGAGGATGATATTCTATGTTGTCTTTTTGCTCTAATAGTTTTGGTTACTTCTAAGAATAAGGGGGAATGTCTACAGTTAAGGATTAGTTTTGATAATTTGGCGGTTAGAAGGTCTCTTCTCATCTCCAGTGGCAGGACTTGAGCTTCGTAGAGAAGGTTGTTGACAGGTGTTGTTGGGAAGGCTCTAAAAGCTAGTCGGATAGCTGAGTGGTAAAATGTTTTAAGTTTATTGTAGAGTGATTTAGGTGAGAAACCGTAAAGGTAAAGTCCATAATCTAGTTTTGCAATTATTGTGGACTTTATTATACTAATAATAGTGGCTGCGTTGCAGTTAAATTTGGCGCTAGAAAGGCACTTTATAATATTTAGGCTTTTAGATAACGAAAGGGCGAGATTTTCAATATGGGTATTCCAGGTATAATGTTTGTTGATGGTCATACCAAGGATTTTCAAAGAACCTGTGGTGGGTAAATTGAATTGGGCTGAATGGATTTTAAAGTTGCATGACTTTTTGCGGCAAATATGAAGATGTTTGCATTTTGAGACTGATAAAGAAGCGCCAGAGGTGTTGCACCAATTAAGAATGTCGGTGAAGAAGTTGTCCAGGTCTAACGATGTCTTATTGCTTATTTTATTGAAGATATGATAGTCATCAGCGTAGGCGCAGAAGTTAAGATGATTGTGAATTGAAAGTACCTTGTTTAATTTATTGTAAGCGATAATGAACAATATGACTGAAATTGGTGATCCCTGGGGAATGCCGTTATGGAGAGGGAGAGAAGAGGACAATGAGTTTGAGTTTTTGACAATGATTTTCCTGTTGGACATGAAGTTAGTAACGTATTTGATTATCCTGGGTCCAACTTTCCAAGAATGGAGCTCATCGATGACAGAGTGGATGCCTATTTTATCAAACGCTTTGTTAAAATCTAAGGAAATTATAGATAAGTGATTTCTAGTTGAAAGGGCAGAAGTAATCTTGCTGTCTAGATAAACTAGAGAGTCAGCTACTGATTTTCCTTTTTTGAAACCGATTTGACGACTATCTATTAGTTTGTTAATAGTAGCAAACCACCATAGTCGATTAGCTATAATTTTGTCAAGAACTTTAGAAAGGCAAGGGTTAAGAGATATCGGTCTATAAGATGTAAGAAGAGTTTTGTTTGTATTAGTTTTGTGTATAGGGATGATTATACTGGTCTTATATTGTTGCGGTAAATAATTATGAAAAATGTTATTGTAGTGTGATAGTAATCGTTTTTTAAGTGTTGGGGTAAGTTGTTTTATCATTGGGTAGGAAATTCTGTCTAGTCCAGGAGTTTTCCCTTTAAGGTTTTTTAGTGCTATTTCTAGTTCTATGAGGGAAATGTCTTCTTCAATAAGCTGAGCTTTTTTGGACAGAGAATAATTAATTGTAAATGTTAATAAGGACTGTTTTTGACAACGGAAGGTAGAAGAAAAGTTATTGTCATTCGTTTCTGATGACCAGTATTGACAGAGTTCCTGTGCAATAAGTTGGCTATTGGTGGTAGAATGATTATCGGACTTAAGAATACAATGAATAGGAGTGCGAGATTTGGTCCCGCAAAAAGTATTAATGTGGGACCAGATTTTTTGTGAGGAATTTAATGAATTTATATTTGCTGTGAAATTTTCTAACGATTTACGTTTAGACCTTTTTATCTCTCTTTTGAGTAATGCATTTGCTTTTTTATAATTAATTATATTCTCTAAAGAAATTGAACGTTTTAACTTATTCCACTGAAAAATTTTTATATCCTTGAGTTTTTCTAAGTAAGAATTCCACCATGGTACAATACGTTTTCTATTAGCGGACTGGGTGGTTTGTTGGATAGATAAATGAGCGCTTTGTCTAATAATTTTTATGATATTTGCGGTTTCTTGGTTGATGTGTCCACTTATTGGTACTATTGAGCTGTAATGGTCAACAGTGGCTTTGAATTTGTTCCAATCTGCTTTATTAGTGTTGAATTTTGCCCGAGTTTTCGAGGAGCAAGTGACGGGATTATCGAATAGGGAGATAATTATAGGGAAGTGGTCACTCCCGCAAAGATTGGATTCTATTCTCCACTTTGCCTCTAAGGCGATAGAGGGTGACGCTATGGAGATATCAATATGGGTAAAGGTATGGTGAGTACTGAAATGAGTTGGGGAGCCGTCGTTTAGGATTAAAAGGGATGATTGAGATAGGAATTTGAAGATGGAGTTGCCTTTTTTATTATTGTATGACGAGCCCCATGAGCGGTGCCAACTGTTGAAATCTCCTAAAATTAGAATGGGTCCTTGAATCTTATTAAATATGTTTCGTAGATTTTTTAATGAAAAATTTTTGTTAGGGGGTATATATGACGATATTACTGTAAAGTTAATTTTGGAGTACACCAGGGCTCCGACAGAGTCGAAGTCGGTATTGAGTACAATTTCCTCATATTGTATTGAGTTATGGATGAGCAAGAGTACTCCTCCATGAGAGTTAACAGACGAGTTGATTGTAAGTAGAGTGAAATTAATTGGGATAGGTATATTATTAGAAGAGTGAATGTGAGTCTCTTGAAGAGCAATTACTTTTAAGTTGTGGGTTTTTATAAGGATGTGGAGTTGGTTGTAGTTGTTGATGTAACCATTTAGATTCCATTGGAGAATATTAAGAGTCATTAAATTATGATGATATAAGCAAAAAATGTAATGAAATGTAATAAGGAATAATAAAATATTAATAATACGATATAATAAAATATGGATAATATGGATGTATATATTTGTAATGTATAATTATATTAGTTGAAGTCCATAGATGGGTCCTTAACGCTTTCTGAATTAGGGCGTACACTGGTGTTGTCTTTTTTTACTATGATATCTGATTTCAATTTATTATTTTTTTTTGACTTAGCTTTTAGTTGTGTCTTTAGACGGTTAGATATAGACGTAGGAAAAATTTTAACTTTATTATCAGGAGTTATGTGCGATAAATGTGAAAGGTTAGCAGTGGTGTTGGTTTCACTAGTTATATTTGAAATTATTGGATTTATTTTACTTATTATGTTAGCCGTTGATGTGGTGTGAACAATATCTTTATAGGATATCAGATGTCTGGAGCTGCTGGGTTGTGGTGATAAGTCTTTGGTGATAGTATTTATATCATTTTTTGTATTGGCGTTATTGTCGTTGGTTACTTGTATGGTAGCTGCATATGAAGTATTCCCGTTTTGGTGGCGTTCAGTGTATATTTTGTGCGCTGTTTTTCTGTCCGTCTTTTGGAGTGTAATGATGGCTTGTATTTCTTTATGTTTTATAAAAGTAGGGCATATTCGATTAATAGCGCTATGTTTGTAATCGGAGACCAAGTTTTCCTTGCAGTTTATACATGTTACTTCGTTTAGGCATTTTTCATTAGTTTTTGAACAATTATAGTCAGCAAGTCCGCAGTTAACGCATAATTTAGAGTTTTTACAATGTGTGGCTGTGTGCCCAAGACGTGTGCAGTTCCGGCAACGGAGTGGAAGAGGGATGTAAGGACGGATATGAACTATTTGATAGCCAATTTTGATCTCATCTGGTAAGGTAGGAGATGCAAACGTAGCAATGATTAAACCAGTTTCTTTGAGTTCTTCGTTGACTTTCTTTAAAATTTTTTTTAACTCGATGATATTTTGGTGCTTTAATTCTGCAAGAATTTCTTCCTCCGGTATTTCTCTAAGATCGTTTGAATAGAAGACTCCTTTAGAGCAGTTAAGCGAATTATGTTCAGTGACATTAACTTCAATAAAGTTGTTAAGTGATGTAAGTTTGATTAAATTTGCGGCTTGCGTGACTGTTTTAGTTTTAATTAAAAGAGTCCCGTTGCGCAGTTTTTTACAATTTTCAATTTCGCTCCCACATACGTTGTCAATGACTTTTTTTATAAGGAAAGGAGAGACGTTCATTAGGGAGTCGTTACTATTAATTCTTGACATCACCATGTATTTTGGGCCTTGGGAATAGTATTTAAGCGTTTTTGTTGCATCAGTGTTAAAAAACAATTGGCCAGAATGTTTGCCCCTATCCGGAGGCTCACTCATGTTTTACTTTTAGGCACTTGCTTGTGCTTAGTCCGTGGGGAATATGTTTGTCGTTGCTGTTCTTATTATTTTTGTTATTGTATTTTATTAAAAGTTATTATTGTTGGTTTTGATTCCAATCAACGGAAAAAAGAAAAAAAAAAAAGAACACTGCAACTAGTATTTCTTATATTGATTATGTTTATGATTATTTGTGTTTTTATTTGTTTAACTGTTTTGTGGAGTATTTATAGAATATTTATAAGAAATCAAATTAAATAAAACAACAAAAAGAAGAAGTAACGGTACTTCGAATCAAAATTGTAAACTATCGGTTGAGCGCAAAACAACGTCAATTTAGCACGAATGATAAACCGAGACTGTATTTCTCTATTATTTTTCACTTGTCTACACAAATCAATATTTACGTGTCACTGAATGTTGACAAGAAGCTGACAAACTTGAAAATATGCATGACAACAGGGAAAATACAATATATTCTGAAGCGCATCGAATTGTTATCAAAATTAAATTCATAATAAAAACAACCTTCCTTCCACTTATATTTTCATAGAAGTACTAATAAGTGTACTAGACCTTTAATTATTTAGTATAATACAACAAAATATATTTACAACAAAAAGTTTTTCTCGTTTTGTTTATGAAAAAAAATCAGGAAAAAATTTTAATTCTAAACTTACTAATGAGTTTTCTTCGATACCTTAGATAAGATTCTATCAAATTTTAAGTATAAGCGCACTTAAAATAAATTGTGATGCTTCCAAAATGTTTTATAAATATTGAGAAAATATTTTAGCTTAATTTAAATTTTTACAAGACTTTAATGGGCTAAAATCAGCCAAGTGCATTAGAGCGAGCCTGATAAACTTATCCTTTGAACCAAAATTTTGATTCCTTTGTTCAAGAGCACAACTACGAGATACACTAATAACCATCGGCAGCTGCTACATTATTTTAATGAGTTTTCGAAAGTTTTAAAAAAGTACATAAATAAATTTTAAAAACACGACTAAAAATATGTTTAACATAATTGAATTTTAAATCATCTCTTTAGTTTCATGATAAATAGCAGCAATAATAGTAATTATAGTTTTAGACTATAATACATATAATAAAGTCTTTTAAATAAAAACAATTAAAGTTTATCTATGTATTAAATAAATTATTGTAATTAAGTAAAAGAGAAAAATAAGATACTATTAGCATTGATACTAGTAATTAATTAATAAATTCATACTATTTTTTTTAAATGCAATATAAAGTACAATACGTCTACTAAAAATAGATATATTTCTGTAATTAGAGGTAGCTGGAATTATTGTTAGATATTCTTGATATCATTAATTTTTTTTTCATTATTGGTTACATATTCTCCAAAAATTTTAAATGACTAATAATATCATAATCATCATATTTGTTCATCTGCACATGTTATTGTCGGTTTTAAGCGAAAAATTTCTTGATTAAAAATAAAACTCGTAGAAATACATAATGATGAGTCAAGTAAAATAACTTTATTTATCCTAAATATTATAATCAATATTGAAGACAAAAACATGAAAGCTATTGTTAATTATTGACATTCAAGGGCTAATTACTAAAACAACAAATTTTTTATTGAAATATTTAATTAATTTTGAAAACCACAAAAATTTGATATAAGTATACTTTAACTACCAAAATAAAAAGCCATTCAATTCAGTACCATTATATACTTTACTTACTCTAATTAATAACAAATGTGTCTCAAAGTTTTATCAATATCAAAGATAAGGGTTCTTATTGAATGAACCATTATTTGAATTTATTGAAATTGCAAAATAAAATCCAATTCCAATTTTCAGCAATTGTACGCAATACTAACTCTTCCCAAATGTTTAAGTCGGGCGAGCAAGCAAACCCGACAATCCATGATCACACATCAAATGGGGACACTGAAAACCGATTTATGTGTATATTCACATTAATGCATATGGTTACTCCCTATTTCAAGGAACAATTAATCAGGTAATGTTCTAGGAAACCTATGTGTAGTCCGTTATTTTTTCTCAGCCTGAAAGAATCTGTTTTAAAAAGATTCTTGCATTAAAAATAAATGCAAATATTTTTTTGTGAAGAAGCACTAGACCTTATTATAATGGTTTGTTTTCCAGCACACTTCTCACAACGTATTCGAATGGGTTCAATGTACCTACGACAAAGTATTTATTAAAGATACTTTATTTTGCAAAGTAACTTTATTGTGCTTTATGCAAATAAATTATAAAAAATTATTGTAAGAAGCGACGTTTTTAGTTTGGAAAAATAAGTGTGGGAGATGATTCTGGAAGATGATATATGAAAGCTAGTAAGAGATCAATATTTCTTAAACTTAAGATTTTTTAAAACATGGTAGCGCATGCGAGTAGCTAGATTCATATTCAGATTTAAGACATCAAATTGATTTTTTTAATTTCTTAAACCAATTAATTCGTTCTGAATTTAATTAATTTAGCAATGGCACGCTCTGTATGTATATATAAAATTAGAATGAATTTCTAATACCACATTTAATATACGCTTTCACTAACAATTCAATTCATAAGAGGTATGAAAATATTACTTCAAATTTTTTGATTTCATTTTGATTTTAATTACACTATTTTCTTAGTATTAAATTAATTTAGACATGAATTATATATGATTTAAACATCATTTTAATAGCATCAATTAGCACATACAACATGTACTACTTACACATTTATATACACACTGCATCAAGAATATTATTCTGCATAAGTAGTTGTTAAATGAAATCAATTCATCACCTGATAACAAATAGCACTAATTTTAACCTCATCAGCACAAACTAAAATAATAAAACTGATTTGGATTATGGCCAAAAATATTCAATTAATCAAATTATATGACGTCAATTTAAAATTATTAAACTAAAACTATAAACTATAAAAAACCAATTACTCGAATATTGATTGCATCAACACACAGCAGCATTAAAATTAATTTAATTTCTCTCAATCGAAATAGTAGCAAGTGTGCCATAGAAAATCACTTTTAAATGTCAGAAAAAGCAGGACTGTTAAGTACAATATTTAGAGTATCTAATGCACACTCCTATGCACAGGCATTGCACTTCGACTTTAATGGCAATGTAGAAGTACTCAGAGACTCATTGGTAACAACGCACTACAAATGCACTTAAATGTTTGATGTGATGTATTTATTTATGTGGAGATTGCAAGCAGCATATGAATGCATCATACTGTCTTGCTATGATTAAATTGCTATAATATGATTTCTATGATTTATGGCATTTAAATCCATTTCACATTTATTAAGAACTAAGTAATTCTACCAACAAATCAATATTAATGAACTTAATTAAGTATGTCACCACATCAAAGTAAATGTTATTACTTATTTATTATTTGTTAGTAGTAAAGTAGTAGCAATGCATCATGATAATTGGATGATCTATTATGCTATCGGAATCGAGATAACTGATATTTCATATGAAGGTTGAAACTATTAATATATCTTACAATCTGAATCAGTTCAATAAAAGTTTTCAAACTGTCTATCAAATGAAATTCTCATTATCACTGATTACAAATATAAGTATTGGGAAGCTTCTCCTTTTTACGAAATCTACAAAAGTCGGAATCATCAATTCACATTTTGAAAAAATATATAACGCTTATATTATAAACCCGAAAAAGTTTGTCTTAACTGTTTTGAATAAGCTTAAGTTTCGATAAAAAGACATATAATATTGTTAGCTCTTCAAAATTCGTTTTTAGAGGTATTGTATGATGTGTGCTTAATCACTTTTCGTGTTTTAGTAAAGATAGTGGCTCTTCCACTCTCTTGAGGTGTTCTTGTATACATTGCCTGTATATTACATTTCACGCATCAATAGATTTCTTATATTATATTCATAAGTATTTGTAGTTTTTAAGTATTGTTACAACAATTATAATTTGTTAATATAACAAGAGACAAAAATGGAATTTATAAATATTATTCTTCACACAAACACCACAATGGTTTAATAAATCTTTGAAATTTCACTGTCTACTATTAGTATTATATTAATCAAATCGATCTTTAATGTCGGTTTGGCGAAACAAACTAAATTCATAATATAAACTATTATTTTCTATAGAGAAGTATTTCGAACGCTAGTAAATTAAAATAAAATTGTGTTATTTATTAATTAATTGTAATTTTAGTTGACCATACACCTGTTTAGAGTATTGCCAAATACTCATCATCAGATGTTCTGAAATTATTTTTTATATTTAATTATTTGTAAATAATTTTTTGCGACTGCAAGTACCAAGGTTTTAAACTCGTGCTCTGCCAAATTTGAAGCTTAGAGTCAGTGTTCATTAGTCAAAGCCTTACTTGACTTATATGTTCAGACTTGAAGTTTTTTTAATTTGCTGTGAATGTTTTAATAACTAACTCACTTGCTGTATTATATTAGAACGAAATTATAAACCAGCTGTATTATAATTAAATTAATTAATTATATTTTTTTATTTTTATTTTGTTTTAACTATTCTTTTATATTATTCTATTTCAAATTTTTTTAATTATACGAAATAAGTCCAGCACAATTTTATCTACTTTTCAACCAATGATACGTCAAAACGTTAACTATTTCAGTAACTCTTCCGTAAAGTTTTACTATTTTCTCTCCCACCTACTTATCAACCTAAGAAAATACTATCTTTGCATATATTCTATTTCAAAAATCTTGTAAATTTTCAAGGGACACATTAATTAATTAATTTCAATTCAATAAATTATATACTAATTGCTTCTAGCTTTATATAAAAACATAAAAATATTCAAGAAATTATTATCTTATTGATTGTTCATATTTTTAAATTTTGTTTCGTCTTTCAACACCAATAATGTTGTTATTGAAACTATATATTGTACTAAGTTAAGCGTGTACAATATAATAATTTCAGAAAGCATAAATTTATAAA